TGATGTATAAATCTCAATTTAGAAAAATTGACCCTTATGACTGGTTTTGTGGTCCAGAGTCACAAATAAGACATAGCTCAAGCTAAAAGCAATGCTTTTAGTTTTGGAGAATAGGAAATGAACTGAATTAACAAAGCCGTCAGTGACCCAAGCTGACACGTCATGGGACACAGACACTTGCAAGTGAATCTCTAGAATGATTCAGCGGTTCAGCCACAGATCATTATGAATGTGTGTGTGTGTGTGTGTGTGTGTGTGTGTGTGTGTATGCAAGATGCATGAGAAAGACAAGAACAGAGATGGAGAAAGAGTTGCCTCTGCATTTCTGTCTCTCCTGCACTCTGCCAAATGGACATAACTAGAACATTGCTAAAAAAAGATGGCAACACTTTTACTTGTGCCAGGCACATGCAGATGAAAGATTGAAACAGTTTTTGTTTTGAGGACTGAAAAGACATTTTAAATTAAAGATGACATGTCACTTTCAGCTTCAAACAGTCCAAGAAAGAAAAGCGCACACTGATACACAACCTTAAAAGACTGGAGATGAAACTGTGTCCTAAAAATACAACAAAAAAAATTAAGATGATGAAAAAATATGACAAACAGAGGTTTGATTTGGTGCATTTAGGTCAGGCAAAAAGCCAAATCCCGAATTAGTGGTGCTCGCTAAGGCAAATATCATAAATACTACATACTCGGGGTGTAAAACTGAGAAAAAACCAATTGTTGAATAATATTATAATATTGAATAAGATTTATGCTTTTAACCAGGCAGAGAACAAATCTCATCGATTAACACTGAGGGAAAAACATTGAGGGCTGGTCAGTTTTTACTCAGGCATTTTCACTTTCATTTTCACAACAAAAGATGCAAAAATATAGTTGGCTTTTAAAATCACCTGTAGTTTATGAGGGTACTTTCCTGTTATCTGCATTGCTTCTGGGTTTGACAGGAGTGCGTTGACTTCATCCCTGCTAAAGCACAGATGTATGTCAGGACAGACCCCGAGGAGGACAGCACCCTTTAAGAGGCATAAGGATTTGGCTTTTCAAAGCAGATTACAAATCACAGCTGACAGAATCTAAAAAACAGACATCATCTGAGGGAGAATATGTCATACATGACAACATCCAAGGACCTCAATTCAATCAGCCAATGACATTGCAGAAAGAATCCACCACAACCAATCAGATTTCTGCACACCTTCTAACTGCTATGCAAACAGACAAGGAAAAACAAAAACACTGAGTTCATCAGCTTATGTTTAAAAGATAAACCACCGTAATACTAATCACAGGGCTGAGAGATTGTGATTTTGTCGCTATGCAATAACTGTCTGCAAAACAGATGTACGAGGGCTGTCCTCAGTTCAAATTCAAAGAGACTGTTAATCAGGGGGGATTATGGGATAGCATCCCCACTGATGAGAGCTACAAGCACATGTCATCTGTTCAGGAAGAGAGAGAGTGAACAAGAGAAGATGACAAGTCATTCACTTCAGCTTGCCTTTCTCCAGAAACGGACCAAAACACAAGGTCTGTTCCAAAACCTAGCTACCTACAGCTGTTCCAAAATCTAAGCGGCAATTTAAAATAACAAATTTTGACAATTTTGAAGACAGCAGCACATGTATCATTTGCAGATGAGGCAATCCCAGAATGCACAGCATCCAAGATGGAGGACGAGTCAAGAGAGATGCCATTGACAACTGTGCATAAAATACATTCAATAACAAAAAGTATTGAAAATAGTTCTAATTAATCAAATTAAATACACAATTTTGTTCTCAATTTTGTATGTGCTGCATATTAGGACTATGCAATATACAGAAATGATAAAAAATTTGCATATGCATATTGCAACGGCTTGTGATGAGCGATTTTAATACTTCAAAAAGTTATAAAATGTCAAAGTCAAATGTGACTTATGCATGAACTTGTGAAATTGATTGTACAAACGCAAGACATTATCGTATCAAATATCACATTATTTAATGTCGCATTTTTCTTCAATATCATGCAGCAAAAAATTCAGCTTAGAAGGCAGCTTAACAGAGCTAAACTACCCAATCAGAATGTCTGAAACATATATCAACATCAATGCTAAAAACATAAAATTACAGTATTGGACACCATTTATAAACCGATTATGCACCCTTAAGTAAATTCAAATGCTGTATCAGCCACACAAACCTACTTTCAACTTGATGTATGAGATTCTATCATCATCACATGTACTTGTTAACATTAGAAGAAGCATTCAATCATAATATATTCATTGAGAGTGCCGTTTGAATATTACTGGATGAGTGTTAGCTGACAACAAAGAGCATATCTCATTGGAGACTGATTCTATAGTAACTCTGACGCTCTGCCGGCCTCTTGCTGACCGCGCTGATTTGATTCAGCTCCCTTTATGGCCGTGACGTGAGCCGAAACCTCTCACTGCCCCCTGTCATAAGCACAGAGTGACAGTAGATAAAACCCAGACCTCTTCCATCCCGCTTTCTCCACCTACTAAAAAAAACTCTCTTTCATCAACAACTTCTTTTCTACCCCTCCACAGGTCCTAGGGGTCAGACTATGTGACTGGGATTTGTCTGTACAAGATGACTGGTGAAAGAGAGCCTTTCAAACAAACATGAACCTCAAAAGCTCGATTATATCTCTGTCAGAGATACCGCAATGATGTGCAGCCAATACACTTCAAGATACATCTCAATGAAGACAAACGAAAGATGACAGTTTAACTCTACAGCCAAGTGGCTTAGCAATGGTTGAAGGCCTCCCGAGGAGGATTATACACTGATGACCACCAAGAGAGGAAAATTCAATGATTATCAGCTGTGAAAAGGTAAACCACTAAAGCCTAAAGGAAAACACTAGGACTAAACGTTGCTGTAAACAGCTTAACATCAACTCACAAAGCTGATGTGTTCAAAGCCGGATGTTTTTGAAGAGCCTGTAGTAGGGCTGCACGATTAATCGAATGCGATTGTCATGCGCATTTTGATAGTAATGCCGGTTCTGTAA